AATGTCATATTTAAAATAAATTCTGTTATTCATTCGTTGAATTATAACGAAAACATGAGAGAAGCGATTGATGAATTACAACCAGTAAGATGGAAAGTATTTCAATGTTTATTAATTGAAGGTGAGAATTTTGGTAAAGATGCATTACGTGATGCACGACCGATGGTGATTACTGATAAACAATTTGAACAATTTTGTGCAACACATCGTCATTTGAAATGTTTTGTTCCTGAGTCTAATTCATTTATGAGAAATTCGTATTTGATCCTTGACGAACGTATGAGATTTTTAGATTGTCGATATGGGCGAAAAGATCCATCACCGTCGATATTAGATGTTGGTGTTGAAGCAGCATTGAATAGAAGTGGATTCGATGAGAAAATGTTTTTTGAACGAGGCGGAAAGTATGAATGGACAAAGAATGTAGATGTTAACGACTGGTAAAGAGGAAAGGCATGCGAATAATCAAGACAAGCATACACCTCGTATTTCTAGTGTAAATAGTTTTATTTCTTTTTTCAACTCACTGTAGAGTCAAAACGTTTATTGTTTTTATGTTTAAATAGTTTATATATTAAATGACCATAATCGGAATTCATTGTCTTGCACAACTTTAGTTTCTGAAATCGGAATAGAGACAAATGCAAGTAGAACAAGAAGTCGTAGTCAACAATCCAACCGACAATATTCTCTCAATGTCCAATGTCACATCATAGAGAATCGTACCAAAAGATCATTCGAAAACCGAAGAAGTTTCGAATGCACAAAAAGTGCAATTTTTTCTAGACCGCACTACAGGCTTTTCGATAATGCTGCTTTTTGGGGTATATCGCTTTCTGAGCATTCCTATCGAAAAGTGAAGTGGTATTCAAAATCAGCGCGTCAAACTGCATCGAACCATATCTAGGAAAATATGTTTCGGATTGAAAAAGTATAGGTAGAAATTTTTTGAGATGAATCTGCACGATTAATTTTTGAAAAGGAAGGGATTTTTCTGTGAAGGTTTATGTTTTCTTTAAAAGCGTCAGAGACGGCTTGATGGTACCGATCTTAATCCAGCTGATGAGTTTTACCTTAGAAAACATAGTATGTTAAAATGTGTACATAAGATTCGGAAGGTGAAGTAGATGAACAGAATGAGGATGGTGGTAGCAGATTTACCAGTGAAGAAGAATGTTATCTGGTGTATCTTGTATCAGAATTTGTTTTGTTTGTGCTACATGTACCATTTGTTTTGGATCATAGATAGTTTATATTCAGTCATAGCACAGTTTTGCTGTGCTTTTGTATTCTATGTAGCGTAAATCCATATAGACCCTACCACCATCACATCGATTTAAAGTGCAGAAGACGAGAAACACATTTTCCTGTGCAGTTTTGCACGCTGATTCCAATGGTGAAAACCACAGCTCGCTATCAGCCTACGAAAAAACGTTACACTCAGTTTATTTTTCAGCAAAAAAGCGCATTTTTTGGTATTTCTTGGCGGATTTTGTGATTTTCCGGAGGGTATTTAGACCTGCTATCCATTTCGTACAACCTTCGTTTTGATCTCAAATAAAAGAGGATGTCGATATCTATATAGATCACTGAAAAATATTCATGTTAATGTATGAACAGGTGTAAAAGATCTCCAGAGAACTCCGGTTTTCCAGGAATCCTTGCGAATTTGGGATATATTGAAGAATTTTTACCCCGTTCAATTCTGAATAAAACGAGACGTCTCCGAAGTTTCTAACACCTTCCAGTAAAGAACTGCCAGGAAAATTGCGAAACGAGTCGAATTTTTGCAACATGCGCGAAAATTTCAGCCTAAAAACGCTCCCGGCTTCCGCATTTTCCTTACAGTTCTTTACTGGAAGGTGCTAGAAACTCCGGAGACATCTCATTTTATTGAACGGAATTGAATGGACTATCGACTGGTGGATTTAAAAGAATTTTTCGGTGTATCCGAAATCCGCTGGGATTACTGGAAAACCTAAATTTTTTGGAGACGTTTTTAGACCTGTTTCGAAAAATTAACAGGAATATTTTTCATTGATCTATATAGATCTCGACATCCTCTAACAGTTGAGGCCAAAACGAAGGTTCTACACGCAGAAATGCGCTTTCCAGAGGCTTTGCAATAGAGGGCGTTTCTGGTGGAAAACGGTGAAAACTGCGCTTTTTTGCTAAAAAATAAAATGCGTATAACTTTTTTCTCTAGATAGCTAGAGAGCTGCGGTTTTCACCATTGGGATCAAAGTGCAAAACTACATCAGAAAATGTGTATCTCGCTTTCTGTACTATCACTTTTGTATAACGTGGTAGGAATCATATGGATTGACCGTGTATGATTATATAGGCTAACACAAAAGAAACATGCATGCATGATATACTGGAATTGGATTGTTTGTTGGTCTGACAAACTACGAAGAGTTTTTTGCAAGCGACATGACGTGTTCCTATCTGCGCATCTTTTCGATCGTCGCTCGTAGCAAGGATTTAGTAAAAGTACACGCATTTATTATTAGTAAGTACACGCAACAGAGAAGATTCTTTTATAGTCGCTGGTTTTATCTCTGCTTTATTAGGAACAGTATTTCGAAAATTGTTTGATACCATGCTTACTCATGATTTCTCACCAAGGTCAGCTCAGAAAACTCTGGAGAACGTAAACGTGTTTTGGAGGCCTTCTAGATATTTCTTAGGTACTCGAAACTGGCTCTAATAAATTCATTATGCTTGATTACCCAGATGTGGCATTTTCGTTGTCGTAACTTCAGACGGTATAACGTAAAAAGTTAAGGTTTACATGGAGAAAATTGAAAAGAAAACGATTATTTATTTATTGACAAGAATTCACACATGTTCAGTTAGTGTTCTTTCACTCATCGATCCATGTCTAACTTCATTGTGTTAGAAAAATAGCGTCTTTAACACATATGAATTGGTATTATTAAACTAATTAAAGTTTTCTTAGAACTATTGTCATAACTTAAATGTATTACGATTGTACCTGGACCACGATATAGAAAATTAAATTCTATTCGCTGCCATTGCTGTCGAAGAGTTTCATTAGATATTTGACCTTACGTGAAGTCGATGCAGGAAATGACTAATTTTAACACACATGAAAAAATAATGGCCGACTTATGTCATAACAGAAGTGTTTTAGAATCCTGAGCTGTGCTAATGTGTGCTCGGACTTACCGGTCCGTGACTGCATACGTTTATTCAAAAAGCCATTCGACTGGTTTTAAACACAATAAACTTTACGCGCACGTATGTCTATTCGTACAAAACTGATTTTGTGTTCTTTGATAGTTTTAGTTTGGAATACTAGAATAGAATATTTTTCCACTTGAATTCTAACAGAATAGAGCTTATACCAAGTTTGTTCACGCAGGCTCTGTGACGTATAGAAGATGAAACTCTTTCGTAGAAAGCAAAGTTTCGTAAAAGTCATCTAGTATAACTTATTTCTATCGATCTTTTCATACATTTCATCTTTCATTTTGATGGACTAACAAGTTCGAGGTGCTGAATCTGAATAACTACACCTGAGTCTTTATTACACAAGCCTTCGTACCTTATTTGTAGGAAAGACGCTGTACAATTCCAAGATTATATTCTTTTCTAAACCATCGCTACTCCTCTTTATCCACAGCTCATAAGATTAAGATACGCTCAGTTCAACTCACACAGATAATGTCGAATAATCGTAGCAATTAATCACAGTGTATATCTTCTCGATACGTGCTCAGACCAGGAAGCTCGCCAACTGTCCAATGCTGTTTTGGCTGATATTAGACAGATAAGGCTCATGATTTTTTCAGAGTAAATCTCTTTAATGTATGTCTATTCTAAAAGTTTCAACTTTATCAGTAACTCGCCTGAGAAGTTATAAGATTTATGATTTGTTTTTCCTATTATAAAGCGTTTTTATTTATGCGTTATAAAGTTTTAGAATGAAGAAGACGACATAACATGATACAATATAAGCAAGGATGTACTGGAAAAATATGATGAGATAGTAATTAAACGACAAGTACATTTCCAACGGAAAAAATGGTTTTCTCATGTAACACATAGTTTTATCTCTATCTGGAACGACACCAGATATCGATGAATAAAATTCCAAGAAAGTGAACGCTTCTGGAAGTGCATCACTGATTAAAACGTACTAGTACACATAGTAATTAAGAAATATAGTGCATAGCAAAACGTTTTATTGTTCGTTGAGTAAGACACATTTTTGTGAAGAAACAGAGAAAGAAATGAAAACAAGAACTTGTTTGGGACCATGCTTTATGCTTCTAACGTTAGAAAAACGAAGAAAGTCATAATCTTACAACTCCTCTGGCAAGCGACTCATAAAGTTGAAACTTTTAGAATAGGTATACATTAAATAGATCTGCTCTAAAAAGCATTTTCGGCTTGCAAGCCCTTGTCGTTTTTGACTGATAAGAAAAAGAACCTATACTACAATATCTTCTGAAAATAACAAAGTAATTTGTTGTCTCTGCACTCAGGTCGCCTGTGCAAGTAAGCAAGTTGACATGGGCGGGACCAAAGCTTTTCAGTCCTGGGAAAATTTCTGATGTTTTTACGAAATTGTGAAAAAAATCGTTGGTTCCAGTGCTGCGACTGTACTGGACTGAAGTGAAAGTTTTTTAAGCTCATAAACTCGCACTGGATTGGACTCATATTTTCAAGACCATGGACTGATGTAGATTCGAATAAAGTTTTGGATGCATTTGAATAGAGGAATAATCAGTAAAAACAATTTTTTGTAGTGTAGACTGGAATGGACTACATTTTTTAGAGCGCATGGACTGAAAAAACTGTTTTTCATGGACTGTGACTGGACTGGACTACATTTTTTTAGCCCATTGGCCGAACTGGATTGGACTCAGAATTTTGATTCCATACGGAACTCTGCTATTAAACACCCGTGTGATTTTGACTTGTATGAAGAAGAATCTATACTATAATACCTTCTCAAAACCACAAAAGAATTCGTTGTCTCTGAATCCAGATAACCTGAGTAAAACTATCTTTCGACTTTTTCATAGGATCATGAGCCTTACCTGTCAAATATTAGCCAAAACGGCATCGAACACTTGGCGAACTTCGTCATGAGTTTCATATTGTTTAAAATATTAGGAAAAATATCACGAATAAACTTTTCTATTGTATATATCTTGATGGTATCAGTACAGAACTTTCTTTGATACTTATATTTTAAGTAAAGTATATGCATATATAAAAAAGAAAAACCATATCACTTATTCGTGATCTCAAAAGCGTATAATAGTAAAAGCGTTATTAGGTCGTTAACGTAGTTATTTTGGTGTATAACCTGGAGGTTGATTAGGTACTAAATCAACTTTTGTTTTGCCATCAAATTGATCAAGGTCTAGCCATCGTTGTACTGGAAAGTGTGTCTGCGTATTCGTCGATTCATTTTCAACGGTGAGTGTATCTACGAACCATCCTTGATCCTTATTACCTGTATGCCACAATGTTGCACCTCTCACTTTACCAACAACCGGCAAAAACATTGTGAACACATCAGTATTTCCATTTTCAAACATATTTTTGTGTGTTTGAGAATGTTGTAGCTGAATAGGTTCGGTACTCCCTTGTTCCCCAACCAGTTTCAGATAGACATTTGCATCCGTGCCGGCGCCACGAATGATTTTCTTTCCTTCACTACCAGTTTTTACCGCGATTTTCCACTTTTCTTTACCATTCAAGTTTGAATCACTACAGTTAGGTTTCGGAACGGAATGAAAGGCTAAAAATTCATATAATTTTTCGTCTTTTGTGCAGCGTCGAACAAATTCTTTTTTGGCTATATCGTCTTTCTCATCCAATGACAACTTTTTCATAGCCCATTGTAATGTATCATCACGTTTGTGTACATTTTCTTCACCATTATTCTCGCGAGTTTCAATCAAATCAAGAATAGCATGCACAGCTTGCTGAAATTCTTTTCGATTCAGCGTGTCACTATTGTTTCGATTATATGCTTTATATGCGAGTTCAAGTTTTGCTTTTTCATCCGTTCCTTGACTAACACTGACAACACGAAGAAATTCACGAAAACTTAGAGAATTATCACGATTATCATTGAAAGAATTAAACATCATCTGTGCATACGTATCCGTGGGTAAAAAGAACGATATAAATGTATGTAGCGCTCACGTGTGAGAGTGCCTGAAGGACAGGCCTGGATGAATCTTGAATGCCATTGTTGAACCAGGGCTTTACTTAAACCAGTTTCATCTGATAATTGATTTAACTCTTTCGCAGATAGTACAGACATTTGTTTGAAGAAAACGTTCTAATATAGTAGATGAAGACGAAAGACGCTTTGAACGGTAAATGAATATTTGTTAAAAATGAAAAGAAAAAGAAAACCGTTCTGCCTTCTTTTTTATTCAGCACATTTGAGAC